TCACTGTGTTATCCACCGACAACATCTAGTAGCGTTTATCTGCACAATTGTGCGATGAAAATGATGAAGACTTCCAACGATTGCTGTTACATACCGAAGTACGCTGGTTGTCGAAAATTGCATGTTTATCAGGATTTTATTTACTTTTTGACTCAGTTTTAGAGTTTTTGGATAGTAAAGATCCTGATTTAAAAAAAAACTTGATCAATTTAAAGCAGACATCGCATATTTGACAGATTTGTTCAAAAAATTTAATGACCTCAACTTACAATTACAAGAGGACAGCCTCAATTTAATAAAAACAAAGAGTGTAATTTCAGCTTTTCTTGGTAAATTGAAATTTATGAAGGAAAATATTGGTCGGCGCGAATTTTCATAGTTTTCAAACTTGTCGCAGGTAAAATGCCTTGATGAAGATATTCAGACATACTTTCAACATTTGATTGCCTTGCATGATCATTTTAAATTCAGATTTGAAGATATTCTGTCGATGAAAATACCACCATGGATCATAAATCCATTTGATGAAACGGAAGTGGAGAATGTGATATTACAAGAGGAGCTACTCGAGCTTAGCACTAATGAGGAGCTGAAAGTGACATTTAAAAGAGGGTATCAAAAATTTTGGCTGCAGAAAGAAATACCCGAAAAATATCCTGGACTGTGGGGAAATCTCGTCGAAAAAAGTTTTAGTGCCGTTACAAACTTATTAACAAAAAAAAAAAAGGAGCAGATTGAATATTACAGAAAGGGGAGATTTACGGTTATTCCTTAGAAAACTCAAGCCAAATATTGATAATTTGCTGTCAATCCATCAACTACATCCTTCTCATTAAAATTATATTTTTTTTGTAATTACCATTGTAGAAATTAAATGTTTAATTTTAATTATATTACGACGGTTATAACAATAATAATTAATAGTGTAATAATTTATATATTTAAATAAATACCTACAACATTGGTTCTTGTGCTGTGCGTAGGTCAAGAAATTCGGAAAAATTAAAAGTTGTGCGATCCGAAAACACATACTGATAGTGAGAGTCGAACCAATCAAAAAAGGTTGTGTAGTTCGGCATCAAACCTGTTATCTTATAATTTGATTTAATATTACGCTACTTGCCTCTCATTAATTATAATATAGTAAAGATTTATACTGCAGTAATGGTTCTGCTCTTTTCGATTTAATTATTAAAGAGCATCTCAGAAATCAATGGCCATATTATCCTTTCCTACTGTTGAAATTATTGTAGTTGTTTCTACTTTTTGAAATATACATACAACATATCTTAATATAGACAATTGTTGATAAATGGTCTATGTATTTCTATTTTATCTCATATATGACCTAAAGTGTTTTAAAATTTGTTAAACAATATTACTTAAGATTATTAATATCGACTTTTGATTTGATTACTATGTATAGTAATATTGCCACTGTTTTTCTTCGCAAAGAGTCCACCAAAAAATGTATCGTTGCCACATCGCTTTCCGTTTTCCATAGGCATTTTAAGCCTTTTCATTTGTGAATATAATATTCACAGTCGATCTATGTTTTATTTATAAAAAGAAGACAGTACCGACTTTAGTTTCTAGCCTAGCAAAGATAAATCTGGCAATTTATACTGACATTTTAGAACACTTTTAATGCCTAAAGTGTTTTTTCACGTCTTTTTTTTTTTTCAAAAACATTCAGATTAAGTGAAATTAAAACAGTTTTTTCTTTAATTAGTTGTTAAAAGTGTGTATTAACATAGAGCTAAAAGTTTGCGATTTTTTTTTCTGTGATAAACTGTGTAATCATACCAAAATAAAGTGGTTTTTGTTGTTGTAGTTCTCGCGTTGGATATCGTCCTGTGATGTTTTTAACCCGACTTTTAATCATTTAATGAAGTGTTAAAAAGTGTCTGATGGTCCATTGCTGACCCGTTACAAGGTGGATAATAATTTTAATAATATATATACCTAGCTGTACAATTATAATAGTGTTTTAAAACAAGAACAGAATGGATTATATGCAATTCCAAGGGTTAACTTTATTCGTTCAAAAAGAGCAATATGTTGTTGTAAATACTTTACTGAAAGTGAAATTACACGGAATGATAATTATTTGCAACGATTTTATACGTGACAAACATAAGGACCACGGTAGGAAGGAAGTGAGAAAACAACAAAGGAATGATGCAACAAGAAAAAAATAAAAAAATATTAAAATATAAAGATATTCGGCATTCACGGAAAAAATCGTATATAAATCTATAAACAGATTTTTAGTTTCAAGGTCATTATTGTATTCTTATTAATATACAGATTGAACAATGAATTAATTTAAAATTTGAAATTACAGCGATTTTTTTTTGCAATAAAAATAAATTATGCACATTTGTAATTAAATTATTCTAAATTAATATCATATTTAAGTTATTTATTGACTTCAAGATTTGCATTTTTTATTCGTGACAAATAATATATCTATATAATACTGCCCTGCAAAGACAAGAGGTCGTATCTACAAAATATCTGATTTCGAAACTCTTACCTATTTATTAAGCTTAAATTTTATTTTATTATGATTCAAAGTTAGAAAGACCTATTTGTATTAGAAAACGTTTCAAATTATATTAAAGGGTTAGTCAGAACTGCAAAATTTACTTTACAAAATCTAAAAGTAGGTAATTATATACACTTCCTAAAAATATTCATTTTGTAGTTGCGACCTCTTATCTTAGCAGGGCAGAATAGGTATATCTGACCAAACTAAGGCGAATATTTTAAGAAAATTAAGTCTACACTAGATGATCTTATAACTCAGGGGTGATAATTCAAAAACGATAAAGTTTATTAATAATACCCCCACTATTGTTAATAAAGATGTAACACTAAGACAAAAAAACTAACGAAGGACCTTAATATTCCGTTTAATATTGATATATTCTACTTAAATGCCCAAAGTTTACTTAACAAAATCGATGAAATTCAAATAAGTTTATTATGTTACTGTCCTATGATAATTTTTATAAGTGAAGCAAGAATTACCAAGGAAATTGAAGAGTCTGAAATTAAAATCGTTGGGTATAATCTGATGAGATGTAACTCCTCAAACCGAAGCACAGGAGGGGTCATAATTTACGTGAAGGATAATGTAACATTTTTTGTTGCTAAAACCTTTGTGCTTGAGCCAAATATTGGTGCAAAGTAATAAAACTTGATCTTAGTGGTTATCAGTGGTTAATGGGTTGTCTCTACCATTCACCATCAAGTTCTGATGCTGTATTTTTGGACAGTTTGGAAAATATATGTGATTCTATTTTTGCTAATAATCAACGCTGTTTATTAATTGGCGATTTTAGCTTTGATTATACAAATGACTGTTTTTATAGTAATAAAATTAAAGCAATGTTTTTACAATATGGAATTGACCAATTAATCACTGAGCCTACACGAATTATAAATAATAGTAAAACTTTGATAGATAATGTATTAGTTAATAATAATTTTGTTAATGCTACAGTTCATCATACTCCGAAAATTAGTGACCATTCTATAATATCTATTAATCTTAGTAATAACAACAAAGACATAAATATAACCACTAAAATGTATAGAAACTTTAGTAAAACTAACTTAGATAAAATTAAACTCGACTTAATATCATGTAATTGGAACTTAAATTCTACTGATGTAAATACTATATATGATGAACTTTATAAGAACTGTCAAACGGTAAGTTTGCCAGTATAAAAGTAATGTTCCATAGTTTGATAATGACATTCATTATAAAATAAAGGATAGGGTTAAAATGTATAAAGAATTTCAGACCACTTCTGGTGCTGATAAAAATGAAAAATTGGGAGCATTTAAAAAATTGAGGAATGAAGTTGTAAATTTACTAAAAATAAAAAAAGAACAATATAATTTTAATAAAATTGATAGATATAAAAATAATTCTCGACTAATGTGGAAGGCTCTTAAAAAGTTAATTAATACTAGCAGTCAAAATTTTCCAAATTTTATTGAATTTAATTTAAACAATGAACGCCAAATCGAACATAATGTTACTGAAATTGCAAGTAAATTTAATATATTTTTTATAGCAATGAAAAAACTAAGCATACTTATAGGTATCACTGTTAAACAAATCTTAGTTCCATATTTTGTGCAAATTACTAATAATGACACAATTTTTTAAATAAAAATATTACACAAATTTTCTCAAATCAAAGCGCTACAGATGCTACTTTTACGCTCAAAAAGTTTACTATTCAATTATTTATTATCCAAAAGTACAGCAATTAATTTCTAATAATTTTCCTTGCCCTAAAATTATTTTATATTACAACTATTGACATTGTTTAATTCATTAATTCATGTATTTGTGTCGTTAATATTAATTTCCACAAGATATATAACTTTTTATCCATTTTAAATAATTGAAATGAAAATTTTATTTCTATCAAAAAAATAAGAGAAAAATAGAAATAAAAATTGCCTATTAAGCGAATTAAAAATAATTTTGGTTTTTTACTATGAAAAGTTGTCAAAAGGTCTTAAAATATAATTAAAAATATTGTAGATATAGAAAAAAAATTATACATTTTAGAATGAAATTAATTAAAAAACAATTAAAATATATTATCTTTATATTAAACAATCTTACCGAAAACTACTCCTCAGATTGTACTTCAAATTTGTAATGTATTATAAGCCGTAAAAACAAATTTAGACAATTTTTTTATTCAAAATAATTGATATTTAACTTCCAGGTGTCTACAAACAAGAAAATAAAATCCTGAAAACTTTCTCAAAACCTACACGATACTTTTTTAATGTATTAGTTCCTGTTTTGATGGCATTACAATAATTATTAAAAAAACCTTTATACTTCCTGAAGAAGTATTTATATTTTCCGAAACACCAAAAATTAAAAAAAATTAAATATAAGAAAAAAGAAAAATAAATTTATCTTAAAAATTAATAAATATTTATTTTTTAATTCTTACCTCTATGTTTCGTAAAGTCCTGGAACGAAAATTTCACTGAACACACGAGACTTGGACGAACTTGACTGGTGTATACCGCTTCCACGACAAAGTTTGAGAGAATACTAAGTTGAATTGAAAGTGAATCCAGTGGGTTCCCCCAATATACAGGCGGTACAGACCGAATGCAGAATGCACAAACGCCGCAAAGCTGCAGGTCACTGTCACTATTCAAAATTTCAATTCAAAATTTAATTGGCGGCCTTTCAGAAACCTTGTGTTTCTAAGACATAGGCATTGGATTAATTTTTCTCTGCCGAATATGATTGGTTGCGGGTTAATATATTCAAATAGAAATCGAAAATCGCTCATTATAATTATTGGATTTGCGTCAAATGCCAACGTCCAATCCAATTTATTAATCGCATAATAAGAGTAAATCGGTTGTTTATAAAAAAGAACTCATTAGATTTCTTTGAATCAAAATTATAGTAAATTGTTTTAATTGCTGTTTAAACAGTTTTTTTTTTAAATTCAGTAAGTTGTATTATCTGCATACAGTAAAAAAAGAATACTTTTCAGCTTAAAATTAGAAGTAATTTTTCGCTACTATTTCGGGACAATTCACAAAATTATTTTTTTTAATAAACAAACAAGACCAATATATTTTCTTTACTCAGATAGAAGGTTGACATGAAATCTAGTTATAACTGCCATTTCTCTTTCAGGATAAGCACCATCTTTCTTGCGGAATAGCCTTTGATATTACTTGCATTCGTGCCGTCGAAAACATTTTCTTACCCCTATTTTTTCTTCTCCACTTTTCCGACTACTCGAATTCTAAAAACGCAAAAATCGTCTGATCATCTGTGCGTGCAGTTTTATGTATGTGCGCCGACACGATAATTCTAGAACGAAAGGGCCGATCGATTTGCGGTTTTGATAATTTCTTCAGACTAAGAACCCTATTGATTTTAGAATTTTCGGTTTAATTTTAGTGCTTTAAATATCAGTCTTTTTAAAATGCAATGCGTTATGGAAATTATTTTATGCACTTCGACAAGGTACTGATTTCGCTAGATAACCATGTTTGTCAGCTGTGAAACCAAATAAATTTTCTTATATTGCTGTCATTCTTAAACGTCAAAAAAATTAAGAATAAGAAGGTTATACATATATCATATGTGATATATCCGCAAAAGAAAGAAAAAAGTCTTGACTTGAAAAATTTTATTATTGAAAACAAGGGGAAGCGACTAGTTTCGGTCAGTGACCATCATCAGGCCTGTGAGAGAGTATGTTAATGTAGCGTAATTTGATTATAAGTGAAAAAGTTGAACAATCTATGAGTTAATGATACATGAAAATTTATAAATAAAAATGTGCTCGTAAGACCATCAAAATACTAACTTAGTACAAAGAGCTGACGGAGAGTACAACAATGTTTAATATATTTAACAGTGTAAAAGAAGAAACAGGGTTTCAAGGTTTTCAATAATAAAATTTTTGTGGTCGGCGTATAAGGGCCACACTTTTTATTTTTTTTTTCTTTTATTTTAAGTAGTACCAAAAGTCTTGCTCTCTTTGGCCCCTGCATAATATTTTTTCCCTTTAATTTTATTTACAGGTCAGTCTTATTTCTTAAGGTCTAGTCCCTGATGTCCAAATTTCATTTAAATCGGATCAAATAACGCCCTGTATAGCATTTTAAATTTATCCTCATTGCCTCTCTAGTCCAGATGATAAGTAAATGAGCTGTTGTTTTCTAAATCCAATTAATAGTTATCTCTACAAAAAAGTGAAGAAATGGAAGACCGGTTAAGAATTTTGTTGCTTGTGTTTCTATTAAATGGTACTATCAAAAAATGGTGGTGCTATTTAAAAAAACTGGTGATGACGTCATATTTCGAAAAATGATGACACGTCATAAAAATATACTTTTACGAAAATATGCACTTTTAAAAAGCATAATCCACTTCTAAATGGAAATGTCCGTCAAGTATGGAAGCCAAAGGTCGAATGTTTCGGTGTCAATCGTTTTTTTTACCTCCACTCCCTCTAGCCTCCAAGAGCACCTTAAAAGTTAATTAAGGATAAAATTGTTCAAGTAAAGTATTTGGGACCAAATTATGAGGATTCTCAGAGCATTCGTATTTCCCACCACCCTCCCTCCCCGAATTTCCCAAGTCCCCCGAGAATGTCCTGTAAATATGCCATTAAAAAATATAGCTCTAATATAGAATTCCGTATTTGAAGACGGAATTACTAATTTCCGTGTTTGAATACGAAATTCCGTGTACGAAGAGGGAAATCTGCAATTCCGTGTTCAAACACGGAAATTCATTGTTCAAACACAGAATTCCTTATTCAAACACGGAATTCCTTGTTCGTACACAGAATTCTTTGTTTGAATACGGAAATTCCGTATTTGAATACGGAACTCCCTGTTTTAACAGGGAATTCTGTGTTCGAACAAGGAATTCCGTGTTCAAATACGGAATTCTAAAAATTAAAAAAATTTGACCCTTCTACGCTGTCGTACTTTTTTCTTTCCTTGTCAAATAAATTATTTAAAATATTTTTTTTTTATTTCTTTTTAAGGATTTTATTCGAGTGGTTATTTGTTGTAATTAAAAGCGACGAGTGAAAATAATTGTTTTAAGTTGATATAAATATGGATCTCACGCGAATAACAAACATACATACGGTGTTTTTTTGCCCGTGTTTTAACGAACTCCAGAATGCAACTCGTATATGAATGTTCTGAATTTGATATTAGGATCAAAAAAGTAAAAGGCCGAAACATTATTTTTACATGTGCAGTCTTAAAGGGTAATGGGTTCAAATATTTTTACATCGGCAGGCTTAAGAGGTAAAAAAGAACCAAATATTTTTGAATGAACAGGTTTCAGAGATAAAGCAATGCAATATTTTTACATGGCAGGCTTAAGGGATAATAATTGGCCCAAATATCATTACATGGGCAGTAGAGTGTGTCAAAAATTATTTTCAAGAAAAATCATTATTTTCGTATAGAAATATTAGCACACAAAAACCAGTTTTCTGATTAAAAATAATTTTTAATACACAAAAAAAGTCATCAGTATTAGTTTAATAAAATAAAAGTCACAATTTTATACATTTGCAACTTTAAGTTATAATATCTTCAGAACGGCTCATTCTATGAAAAAATAAATTAAAACTTTTTTGTAGGGCGTTCAATTTCCTACCAAAATAATTTTTCAGTTTATTTTTACAATGCTCAAATGTCAAGCTACAAAAATAAGAAAAAGGCACAGGCACCACTAAATGATAATATTAAGAGCTCAAATTTATAGAGGCTTCTTTTTCACATTTCTAAAAGTTTTTAGTCCGTTTTTTAGTTGAAAATGCTCAAAAATGGCAGGCAAAAAGGGTAAAAGAATCAAATATTTTTGCATATGCCGGATTAAGAGGTAAAGGGTTCATCATATATTTTTACAAGTGCAAGGTAATGGGTAAACGGCCTAACTATTTTTACATGTGCAGGCTGAAGAAGTATAGGGGCCAATATTTTTATGCAAGCAGTGGTAAAGGGACAAAATTTGTTTTGCATGGGCAGGCTTAAGAAGTAAAGAAACCAAATATTTTTACATAAATAAGTTTAAACAATTTCCAAAGCCTAATCAAAAGGTGATATGGAATGATATTTAAAAACAATGTAGAGAACTTATATACGTGGTTTAGCCTAAGTAACGCCAATGTTTCATAAACCTGAAAATTCAACTTCTTTCGATTTTTTGTTGAAAATCAAATAGTTTCTTTGCTCGTGGGGCCTCAGTCAAGACAAGGTGGAAACCACCAATTTAGCGTCCCTCGAATTTTAAATATATACATTTTGAAAAAATTATTTTTCGGATTTTCGTTTTGGGAAAGTTTTTGAGTAGACTCATATATACATCAATAATTATTTCGTGCTCAATAAATAGGACAGAATCATTCAGCAAACTAAAGCAGGTGCATCAGGAATATAAAAAATAAGACATTTTTAAATGGATTTCATGAACAATTAAATATTTTAGTACCCATTTGACTTGCCAGATACTTAAAAGAAATACATGTTTTATTTATGGTTTGTTTTGTTAATTTAATAAAAAGAACGCAAAATATTTTTCTCGGCTAGACTGAATTAGCAGACAAGGTACGGGGTTAAGACAATATTTGGTAAACTTAATTCAGAAATCGTGGGATCAATGATAACATGTATTCGAGCAGATCATAGCTGCGATTCGTCTGTTTATATTTTCCACGAATAATTCGTATTATTTGGTGGCTACTACAACGCATATTTTTGTAGCGTCCACATCAACCAAATTAGAGTTTTATGTTGATTACATTAACAAATTTACATAAAATAACATTAGTGAAAGGACTTCTGGTTCTGTTGATATACATATATAGCACTCTTTGTTAAGGACTGTATTTCTGTATTAGCTCATCCAATACAATTAATATTTAATTTAGCTTTAGAGTCGTTAACCTTTCCAGATCGATGGAAAAAACCAAAATTGTTTTTAAATTGTTTTTAATTCTGATGAGAAGTCACTAATCAACAAATATCGTCGCATATTCTCAAACTTTTTTAAGGTCTTAACAACATGGATTCTTGTATAATAAATTAACCGAGACCAATTTGCTTACGATAAAACAATAATTTACTGGTGGACGAATCCCATCAGATTCTATAACAAACCATCCAAATTAAATAAAAGGTCAGATAGTTTGATGTGGGATTCGAACCACTGTCACCATATTTTTTGTGTTAAATTTGATCTCAAAATTTTTTCGCTTCGGCTCTGCCTAGCACGAGAGGTGCAAATAGTAGTTTGTGCAATAAAAGTGGATATGGAGAATCCACTTGAGTTGTACAGTATATTTTTTCTACCACCCACCAACGAAAATCTACAAATATTAAAAATTATTTATGAATTTTACTTATTTATAAAATAAACATGAAAAAAAAAATAAATAATTAATCCCTAGCCCAGATTCGAAACCGGATCAATTATTATGGAAAATGTTTTGTTTTAAAACTCTATTATAGTATCGCAAGTAAAGGCTAGTGTGTGCATAGACGCCGACTTTTGTTTATCTCCGGGAGGACCGTACCATGATGCGAGCTATAAAAGAAAGGTCCCCACCTCTATCCGAAGGTCCAATGATGTGTTTTATCCACTGAGAAATTACGAGAAAAATAAATTTCACTTTCACGTTTCTCCAGGGGGGCGGGATTATTTCCTAAGGGGCGCTGCCCCCTCCCTAACCCTATGAT